TAGTTTTTTTGTTGTTGAGATGCATGAGTTCTTTATATATTTTGGAGATTAAGCCCTTATCAGATGTATGGTTTGCAAATATCTTCTCCCAATTCCTGCATTCTTTATTTCAATAACTAAAAATACTTGTGCCTCCCCTACACTCCTCTGAGCAAGCTTTACCATTCTATGGTTCCCTCATTATTGAGTTAGATAAATCTTAAACTCACTTTGAAAAGCACAGTGCATAAGGTAGGAAATTAAAGGGGAAAAATACAAAATAATAATATGCAGTAGATAATATTGGGAGCACTAAATTGTGGTATCTCTTCCCCCATCATCAAATCTCTGGGTACCCCCTACCCTTCCCCACCTTGCGGACAGCAGTTATGGTCTCTCTGATGGTGGGCCCCATGCTGTGCTCACTAGTGCCCACTGCCCACTTTAAAGAACCGACAAGAGCACCTGTACCCTTAGGGGCACAGCCTAAGTGCCGCCTCTGCTCCTGGAGTGTTGGCTCCCCATGGTCATGACAACATCAGGTCTCCAGGCTGGGAAGGTTTCCTGATGTTCTTCATTCTCTTTGCAAACCATCAGCCTAACTCTGACCACAGATGACTGACTGGAGTCTGTTGTGGTGCTAGTGACAGACCTGGGGCCACCTGAGGACTCGTGGACGTGTGCGCTTGGCTGCACTGGGTTCCAATAGTTGGTGCCCACAGAACCAGCCAGGCACCACTGATCCTTATGGGACCTCTTGCACCCTGGGCAGTGCCCTCCAGATCCCATCAGTTTCGGGTCCCCTCTGAGCACTTCCACCCAAGACCTCTCTCTGCTCCAGCCTGATTTTCATGTGACGCTGGTAGGCAGGGAGAAGTAAAAGCGTGCTGCCTCCTGGGAGCTAAATTTTGTCCTTCTCATACTTTCCCTCTTTATTTTTAATTAACACTAATTTATACCCTCATATATGCCAGGGAGTTTTCTGAGTGGAAGTAACACAGCAGTGAATGGATCCTGCCCTCTCTTAATAAGCACTCTTCCCTATGGGCTGATTCTTTATAACTGAAATGCTTCTCCTGGTATGCTAGATTCATTGAAAAAACAGCAATCTCCACTCCTCCCCATATCCATCCTCTACACATAGGACTTTTTAGTTCCTCCCATCAAAAGGTAGATTCTATTTCCCCACTCCTCGAATCTGGGATGCATTGTGATCTACTTGGGCCAATAGGATGCAGGAGAAGTGATGCTTCAGTTCTAAAACAAAGCCTCCAGAGTCCTTGCATGCTTCCAATGACTCTCTTGGAACCCTGCCCAGACTATGGGAATAAGCCCAGGCTAGCCTAGTATGGCACAGGCATCCCCATTGTCCCAGGCTATAGCCAGCCAAATGTCAGACTAGGGAGGGAGACTATCCTAGACCAGCCAGCTCCCAGCCAACCCCCCACATGACCACAAATGCATGAACAAGCCCAGCTAAGACAAGACAAGCCTGGCCTGACCTGAAAAACACCCAGCTGATTTATAGACTCATGAGCTACAATAAATGCTTATTATTTTAAGCCTCTGAACTTTGGAGTAGTTTGTTACACAGCAATAGCTAAGAAATACACTTGGGGATCTCATCTACTTTTTCCAATGACTCTGTCATCTTGAAAGAAATTAAAAAATTGCCTTTCATTATCACCCTAAGTTTACAAAGCTTTTAAGAGACAGAAAAGGGACCGGCCCCGTGGCATAGTGGTTAAGTTTGATGCACTCCACTATGGTGGCCCGGGTTCCCAGGATCAGATCTGGGGCATGGACCTACACCACTTGTCAGCCATGCTGTGGCAACGTCCACACATAAAAACTGGAGGAAGATAGGCACAGATGTTAGCTTAGGTCTAATCTTCCTCAAGTAAAAAAAAAGGAGGAAGATTGGCAACAGATGTTAGCTCAGGGCTAATCTTCCTCAGCTTGAAGGGAAAAAAAAAAGATTTCAACTGAAATCTATACGAAAAGAAAACGCTCTTTTCACAATAACATAGGACTTTCCAAGGCCTCACCTACCTTCTTCATTCTGCCATTTTAAGGTTGCTAAAAATTAGGCAACATGAAATACATAAGGTTTCATAAAAGAGTATGTACTGTGTGCTTTCATTTATGTGAAATTCTAGAATAGGCAAAACTCATCGTCGTGAAAGAAAGCAGATCATTAGCTGCCGGGGTGCAAGGAAGGGGGCTGGACCACAAAGGGGCAAAGGAAAGCTTTGAGGTGATGGAAATGTCCTATATTTGACTGGAGTGAGAGTTGCCTAGGTATTTACATTTGTCAAAAGTCATCTCTACTATAAATGGGTGCATTTTATTGTGTAAGAATTATACCTCAATAAAGTTGATTTTTAAGATTAAAAGAACTTAGGATGTGGAGAAAAGGGAACCTGTGTGCACTGTTGGGGGGAATGCAAATTGGTGCAGCCACTATGGCAAACAGTATGGAGGTTCCTCAAATAATTAAGAATAGAACTACCATATGATCCAGTGATCCCACTGCTGGGTATATGCTCAGAGGAAATGAAAACAGGATATTAAAGAGATATCTGCCCTGCCATGTTCACTGCAGCGTTATTCACAATAGCCAAGATATTGAAACAACCTGTGTCCATCAACAGATGAGTGGATAAAGATGTGGTGCATATATATACACACAATGGAATATTATTCAGCCATGAGAAAGAAGGAAATCTTGCCATGTGCAACAACATGGATGGAGCTGGAGGGCACTGTGCTAAGTGACATCAGCCAGACAGAGAAAGACAAAGACTGCATAGTATCACTTATATGTGAAATCTAAAATAAATAAATAAGGCAAATTCACAGAAACAGAGAGTAGAAAAGTGGTTGCCAGAGGCTGAGAGGTGGGGGCAATGGGGAGAGGTTGGTAAAAGTGTACAAACTTTCAGCACTAAGATGAATAAGGTCTGAGGATCTAATGTATAACATGGCGACCGTAGTTGATAACACCGTATTGTGAAAGTGAAATTAGCTAAGAGAGTAGAGCTTAAATGTTCTCACCAAAAAGAAAAGGATAAATATGTGAGGTGACATATGTGTTAATTAACTAGATGAGGGGAACCTTTTCACAATGTATTCCTATATGAAATCACCACAAAGTACACTTTAAATATCTTACAATTTTATATGTCAATTATACTTCAATAAAGCTGAAATTTAAAAAAAAACAGAAAACCTTATAAACTTTGTATAGTCGTTCCACAGTTAAGGAGAAAAAAATTCAAAATGATGGCAGTGCTCCAATCTCAGGGCTATTGCTCTAGCACAGAGGTCTCGTTAGGGGTCTCTGGGGAAGGACCCGTCTACCCCCTCCCTGCCATTCCTGTGGCTGAGCGGTCTACAGGAAGCAGCTCTGCCACTCTCCTAGCTGGCCTTGTCCAACTTGGTCTCACAGACCCAGGGGAGGAGACTCTGGCAGACAATGTCATTCCACTGGCCATCAGGGCAGAAGTGGGCACAGTCCTCACCTCCGCCCAGCCCGTGTCCGTCCCAGTCATCTGGCTGGCCTGGACTCCAGTTCCTGAGGAGAGAGGACAACGGCAAGCTGGGAAGGTCAGGAGGCACAGAATCCAGGTCTGAGAAGGGGCTGTGGGTCAGATGCTGAGGAGCAGAGCTGAAGGAGGAGGTAGGGCACAGAAAGCCAGGGGGTACTCACTGGAAGTTGGTCTTGTAGTCTGTCCCATCCACCCATTTCCAGACTCCTTCAGGATCACTGAGGCCCATCCAGGTGTCTGAGGAGGCTATATGTTCCTGGACAAAATTCTGGGACGACACAAGGGCGATGGTGACTTCTCCCCATTGCAGCCAACTCCTTGGACTAGCAGTTCTAGACTTGACATGCTCGTTACAGCAGTGAGGAGATTTGGGGTGTTTACCCCAATGCCCGGGCCACTTACATCTCTGAGGGTGCGGCTCAGATGGCAGTAGCTGTTAAAGCTGCCCGGGTGATTCCAGTGTGCAGCGAAGTTGGAGAAGCATTTCCTTAGAGGGGACAGGTCTTGCCCCTGAGCACCAGAGGCCCTCACCTGCTCCTCCCTGGAGTTGATGACCACCAGGTGGGCGTTCTGCAGCCGGCAGTTCTTCTCAGCCTCGGGCCAGGACTTCACAGAGTGAGAGAACCAGTAGCAGCCACCTTCGTGCTCCAGCCAGTTCGGGGGGCAGCAGGCCCTGTCTGAGCCTGGGGGCCGGGAGTGGGGGCGGCTCTGAGAGGCTGCCCAGTGGGACGTGGGCAGGACACGAGGCCAGGCGCCCCCACACAGCCCTTACCGTTGCTCTTGAGGGCAGCCATCTGGCAAGCCAGGAATTTCAGGCCTTTGGCCTGCTGCTGGACCAGCAGGAGTATTCGGAATAATCTGGGACACACACAGATGGGCAGTGGGGACGGCGCCCTGGGTGTGGATTCTGCTGCGTGATCCCTGCACGGGGCCCAGCCTAGGAACCCGCCTGCCCTCCCCGACACGTCATGCCCGGGCAGCGGCGAGCAGGGGCCTGACCTGCTTTCAGCTCCTGCTGCTCTTTCTCCAGCTTCTTCTCCAGAGAAAACACCTTGTCGTTCGTGCTACGGGCTGGAGGGGAGGCCGCTCAGCACCACGGGGCTCCCCCACCTCTGTCCTGAGCCCCAGCCCCGCCCTCGCACACACTCCTGCACAGTCTCACCCGCTTCCAGCTCCTGCTTGTGATTCCCCACCTCCGCTCGCAGAGGTGTTATCAGTTTTTGCAAACTGTCACCTGGGGGCCATGGGGACTCAGTGCTCCAGAGTCAGCTCCCACCCCCTCCTCCACTGCACCCCACCCCGTCCAGAGCCCCTTCCATGCCAAGCTCACGCTGGGACATCAGCGACTTGACCTGATCCTCAGTGTGTGACGTGGAGTTGTTCAGGGCCACCAGGTCCCTCTGAAACTTGGACTCTGATGGGGCAGATGGGACAATCAGAGCTAAGAGTGGCCAGCGCTGAGCAGGCCACTTGACAGGCACTGTCTCCTTGCTTCCTCACAGCAGCCCAACCCAAAGGGACAGACACTGCTGTTATCCAGTATTGCAGATGAGGAAACCCAGGACTGGAGAGGATACGTAACTTGACTACATCACCCAACTAACAAGTGACAGAGCCAGCAGCCACCCTTATCCATCACCAACTCCATCAGTGACCCACCCATGCACCCCTTTATTTCTCTCTTCCCTGCCCACCCTGTGCCCCTTACTTTGGGATCCGATCACGCAGACGCCAACCAGCAGAGGCAGGGCCCAGGGAGAGCAGGAGGCGGGAGCTGGAGCAGAGTGGCTGCAGGAAGGGCTGGAGGGGAGGCAGCCCTGCAAGAGGAGAAAGGGCGTCAGGACAAGGAGTGTCCAGGGCATGAGAGAGACAGCGGAGGAGTGGGTCACAGGGACCTGTCTGGGACCAAGGCTGGCAGAGGTAATGCTGGGGGAATACTGCACAAGGAGGATCATGGGATGGGAGAGGCCCAGCCCTCTGACCCCTTGTGGACCAGCACAAGTCCCCAGGCACGCAGGCCCCTCATACCTCTCGGAACACACGTACACAAGGACACACAGACAGGGGACGTGGCGATATGTAAGGTCCTATCATCAGGGCTGGGGGAGGTGGCAGGAGGACCCAGGGAGAATTGGGCAGCCAGGCCCGTAGCAGCTCACACTCATCTGTACTATCGGGGAGGCTAATGGGTTTCCCTCCCAAATCCGATCACTCAACCCGCCACCAGGGCAAACCCTCATGCCCTCCCCAGAGCGCGGGAGCCTGGCCCGCCGTGGTCTTCCCTGTCCTTGTCTTTCTGAGGACCCTGAATCCTCTTCATACTGGGGCCCCTGAGTCTGGGGCTTGACCTTCTCAGAGTGGGGGAACCCACCGCTGCACATGGTAGAGGTGCAGACGTGACACGACAGCAGAAATCCTTCTAAACATGTTAAGGGGGTATTTTAGGAGAGACCATTTCTCCTTTCCTCCTACCATTTCTAAACCCCTGGCTTTTCTTCTCACTCCCCATGTCCTGAAATTTTTCATACATCGTTGACATGCTGGGACCAACACGACCGCTGAGGCTGTCAGAGCTGAAATGGAGACAGGGCCAGCGGCCAGGCTGTGGCAGGAGCTGGGGCAAAGGGGAGGCTGGGACTAGGTTGGAGCCGAGGTCAGGGGTAAGGGATGAGGCTGGGATTGAGAAGGAACCCAGCGTTAGGGTAGGAGTGGGAAGGGGCCTGGCTTTGCAGCTGAGGTTGGAAGTGGGGTCAGAATGAGGCTTTGGGCTGGGGTTGGCTTGAGTTTGGGATTGAAGATGGAGGTAAGGTTGGAGCTAAATATATCGCTAGGACTGGGTCTAACACTGGGGCTGGAATTGAGGTTGTGTCTCTTGCTAGGATTCAGGTCAGTACTCACGTTGGAGCCATGGATGGGGCGGGGCCTACACTTGGGCTGAAGCTGGAAATAGAACAGAGTTGGGGGTCAACCTTGGGTTGGTGCTGGTGTTAACATTCAAGTTGACTCTGGGGTTGAAGCTGCGGTTGGAGTTAAAGGAGGAGGTCGGGTTACTATGGGGGTTGGAGCTGTGGCTGGGGTAGTTGCAGGGGACAGGGCTGGAACTGGGCTAGAGACGGGGCTGAGTTTGAGTCTCTGGTTGTGACTGAGGTTCGGCTGCCACGCTTCAATCTGAATCCAGTGCAGGGAATAGAGTCTAAAGTCTTCACTGGTCATTAAATCCCCAAGCTGCCCCCTCATATTTCTTCCCATTTGGTCCCACCTAAGCCCCACAGTCCCCTCTCCTGGCTTTCTCTAGCATCCTCCCTGTCCCCTTGGTCTCACCTTGTGAGACCAGCCCCGTTACCTGTGGAAAGTCTGGAGGCTGTGATTCTTGGGTTCGTTGTGCAGCGATCACCAGAGTTTGAAAAAACTAAATCTTGGAGAGTTGGGATAGAGGTGATAGAAAGAGGAGTCACGTATGTGACCAGGGTCCTGCTGGTCTTCATGTCTGAAAGCCCAGGAGTCTACAATCTGGGATCTTCTGCTTCCTCGACTTTGGACAGAAAATAATAATAAGAAGGAAATGATATCGGAACAGAGTCAGAGATTGCACGTGGAGAGGAGTTGGATATGGGACCAGCTCTGCTCTCCTCCTCCAGAGTGTGTCTACTCCCTTTCTGCTTCTTTTAAGTTCCCTTAACTTCCTCAATTTTACCATTTGGGAGAGGGCAGCCAGACCAGAAGGGACCAGAGGTACATCTGTTGTTTTTTTTCTGCCCCCCACCCCCTTTCACTTCCTGAGTCATAATTTCCCAGAATTGTTGGTGTCTCCATCGTTGCACACCCAGATCCAGAGGAACCCATCTCTGCTCGTGTTCAACCCCAACCCAAGTCCTCTGGGGCAACAGCCACTAAGCTCCCCCAGCTGTGGCCTAGCTCCCTCACTCCACTCAGAAGGAGGGAAGAGGGTGATGGAGAGCAGGATTCCCGGCCGGAATGGAAGAGGAGGAGCTGGGGAAAGGAACAAAATGTATTGAGCCTCAAATCTGTGACAGAGATTGTGCAGACCCTTGCCATACATCAACCACTCAATTCTCACAAGAAACTCAGGAGGCATCTGGGGTGATGGACTGAGGCTCAGAGCCATTGTGTGACTTGACCAAGATTACACACCTCGTAAGTGAAAGAGCCAGAATTCAAGCCCAGTGCTGCCCGACACCCTAGCCTGGCTGGACTCTCTCCACATGCACTGTCTTCACCAAAGGGATTCGATTTAACCCAGTAAACCCTGTAAATCCCTCTAAGGGGGCCGCCCTGAGTTCATACACACGTCCTTTCCAATAGGAAGGAAACTTGGTGTCTTAAGAAGTGAAGAAGGAAAGCAAATACATTTTAGATCATATTTTCTAGTTAAATGGGATTGTGTTCTGCTACTTACTTTTTGTATTCAATTAACAATGTATCAGGAACATTTTTCCACATCAGCTCATAAAATGTCCTTTATTCATTTCTTATCTTTCTCTCATTTCATATGTACTATAATTTACTTGTTAGGCATTTCCCTATTGATAGACATTTAGCTTGTTTCCAGTTTTGTTTTATTTTCTGGTTTTGCTTTTATTTGTTCTTTTGATTAGTATTTGTCACTAACAGGCTAGGTTTTGGGAAGCCAATACTGAGAATGAATTTGGGGGACAAGCTATTTATTAGGGATCAACACTTGTGAAAGGAAGGGGGAAGAAGGAGGAGTGGGCAGAGGGAGAAGTTCAACAGCGGTGAAGACCCCACAAAGCTTCAGCCACTCCCCCAGGGTGTTCTGGGAGTTCAAACAGCATTGCCTATGGGAGCTGTCCAGCATGGGGCTGAACCGGGGCCTTCATAAGCCCCCTGGCTCAGTCACCAGATGCGGATCACTCCAGCAGGGGCGTGACCTCAGGGGCGGTGGTTGTCTGCACAGGTCACACTCCCCACAGCGGGACACCAAGTCCTTCCCGGAAAGGGGGTTCTGGGTAGCTCATCTGTGGGTCTACCCCAGTATTGCATTGGATTCACACATTAATTTGGGGATAATCAACATATTTGCATTGTTGAATCTTTCCCACAAAGAACATGATATTTTTCTCCATTCACTCATACATGCATTTGTTTATCCCCTCAACAGGTACTTACTGGGTGTCTACAACATGCTAGGCCCTCTCCTTCAGAAGAGGCATCCTTCAGAAAGGAACCAACAGACAAAAAAGGCCCTGCCCTCATAGGGCTTACATTCTAGTGGATGACAGATAAACAAAATAAATGAGTGAAATACACATAATGTCACATGGTGGTAAGTTCTATGGAGGAAAATATAGCAGGGAAGTGAGATAAGATCAATTTTTAACAGGGTGTTAAGAATAGGGTGTCAAGAAAGGCTTTACTGGGGGACTGGCCCCATGGCATAGTGGTTGAGTTTGGCTCGCGTTCCACTTCTGTGGCCCAGGTTCACAGGTTCGGAACCCGGGAGCAGACCTGCACCAATCTTTGGCAACGTTGGGCAGTGACCCACATATAAAGTAGAGGAAGACTGGCACAGATGTTAGCTCAGGGCTAATCTTCTTCAAGCCAAAAAAAAAAAAAAAGGGAGGATTGGCAACACATGCTGGCTCAGGGCTAATCTTCCTCAGCAAAAAAAAGAAGAAAGGCCTTCCTGGGAGGGTGATATCTGAGCAAAAGTCTGAAGGGAGGGAGCAAATAATGAGGAGCTCCGGGAGGAAGAGTGTTCCAGACAGAGTGCACAGCGAGTGCAAAGGCCCTGGGAGGGGAGAACGTCTAGTGTGTACATGGATCATTCATTTGCCAGAGATGCCAGAGAGTTTATAAAAAAGTGAGCTAGAGAGAAGAGGAGTAGATGAGTCAGAGGGAAAACGTGGAGCACCAATTCTTTACGGGCTTGTAGCCTACTGTTAAGGATTTGTTTTTACTCTGAGTTAGAGAGGCAGACTTTGGAGGGGTCGGAGCAGAGGAGTGAATGACCCAACTCATATGTGAACTGTAACAATGTGATTATTGTGTTGTGAATTTCAAGAACAGGGACAAGGGTGGAAACAGAGAGTCCAGGTAAGGAGCTATTGTAATGTCTAGGTGAGAGACGAGGGTGGTTTGTGCGTGCAGGTGGTGAGAAGCGTTCGATTCTGGATCTATTGTGAAGGTAGAGTTGACACAGGATTTTGCTGATAAATTGGATGTGAGTTTCTCAAGAAGATAATTCTCCTTCTAGTCCCCAAAATAATTAAACTTTGAGCATTTCCCATAAATTGCTGACTTCCTAGGAAAAACAGCCACATCCTTTTGTGAATACGATAATCATGTGAGAGAAGTGCTGTTTTGCTGTCATGAGCAGACTGATTAAGAACTTGTTAACACTGGCAATCTTGCAGACTTTTCCCTTGAATATCCGTTGTCGTTTTGTTCGGTAAGCTTGTCCTCCAAAGTCTAATTACCTTGCAACTTCTTTGCAAGTAAGCCTTCTTTTCTTTCCTAAATGCTTTTGACGCTGAGACATCTTTCACAGTTAACAATCACGGCTTCCTTCTTCCACTGTCTTTTCCCTGATCCCTTACCCTCTCCCAGTACCTCAGTTGGCCAGGATTCTTTTACCTGGTGGGGTGACTCAAAACTTTATTTCCACAGCATCCAAGTCCTTAGTGGTCCTATCTTTCCTGGGTCACCACAGTTCGCCACTGATCATTATATGATTGGGCACGGGAGTGCTAGGTGGCACCCCAGAGAGTCTCGTGGATTTCAGACTCAGTCCTCCTTTCCCCCACTGGGAAGCAGCAGACCCATTTCCCTTCTTTTTTTTTTTTTTTTTTTTTTTGTGAGGAACATCAGCCCTGAGCTAACATCTGCCAATCCTCCTCATTTTGCTGAGGAAGACTGGCCCTGGGCTAACATCCGTGCCCATCTTCCTCCACTTTAGATGGGACGCCGCCACAGCATGGCTCAACAAGCCGCACGTCGGTGCGCGCCCGGGATCTGAACCAGCGAACCCTGGGCCGCCGCAGCAGAGCGCGCGCACTTAACCACTTGCACCACCGGGCCGGCCCCCCATTTCCCTTCTTAATCAGAATCAATCACCCCCAAAAGTACTGTTATCCCCATCCCCTATCTAGTAGTATATGAGGAGCCCAAATCAGCCAGGACTCAGTCTCATCTTCAAATTTAAACAGAACCAAGGCTGTCTTCCCTGGTGGGTGGGTTCTTTCCTTGGGCACTTAGAACTTCCAAAATCCAATGATCCCAGATTGTGCAGACGAAGAGAAAAAATTCCATAGGTGGATTATTAGGTGTCGTGTGAGAGGAGACACTACCTTCCTCTGACCCTTGGTTATACATATGGCTGTCGGGGAGATGGCACCACATTGGCCACTGATTTGAGATGTATACCCACCGATAGCTTGGGCGTGAGAGGTGAGGGAAAGGGAGTAAAATAAGACATTTACCCCATCCCCAGTCCCCAAGCCCAGAGATAGCAATTTGATGTGTTTCTTTTTGGATATACTTCTGTGCATA